AGCCTACAGATGATATAATATGACCATTGATTATAAATACTGGTATTTATAATCAATGATATGACTGAATAACAGCTATACCTTATCTCATCGTCAGGGCCGTATTTGGACATTTTACGCCCCGGGGCAACATATTTTAGTCATCCTTCCATAACCCCCCCCTCCCCCAAACAAAAAAAAGTTATTTTCTTTAAATGTAAGGCACTTTGTTGTAAACATTGTTCTAGTCCATAGAAAATGTTGCCAACTATCTTATATAATATGCGAAGCCCATTCTTAGACTAATATAATACCCCATAAGCCTCATTGTCATACCCCCACATGTAAAATATAGGTAAATTATAAAAAAATATTAAAATTAAACAAAATAAATACTTACTAATCTATATTATATATAATCTCGAAAAACTCACTACATCCATATCTTAAACAGTTGTATCTACTTAAATAGCGAAACTTTTTGTGTAATGAAATATAATTTACACGGAATACTTGTATGAGTACCTACTTAAAATAAACTCTAGCCTCTAAAAATACTTGATGTTATAGATTTATATTTACAATTTTCAATTTAATGTTACAAAATAATATAATCAGACAAAATCATTTCCTTATTTTACAATATAATGCATATATATATGGGTATTAATACACTTTTCTACTAATAATATTGTAAGAAAATATTATAGTCTTAGTATAGTTTATTTACTTAGACCGTATATTACTGGAATGTTATAGAATAATAAATATATTTGCTTTGATTATGTTATGTTTCATATTTGTATACATTATCTTCACATATTCTTTTGGCTTAAAAGCACATATATGTTCTGATTATAAGAAATTTCCACACTCTGTCTTTCATAAATTATTTATATTTTTATATATTCATTCTGTATATTTTTTAATTATTGACGATGAGTACTTTTAAGTTCTCTGAATGTGAGAAAGGGGTTGGCGACCTCCACGTGATCTTTCTTGGATACGTTTTTCACTAAGAACGTTTAGAGTGTAAATCGTAACTAACGCCAACATTTATGTATACACACCTATTACAAAGTATTCACTTATCGTACAATTTCTTTTTTTTTTTTAAGATTACATCTAGGAAGATCTATCCCCATTCTTATAGTTTGTGGTCAGACTCACTTTGTATACATATTCATTAATTATTATTGATAGAATACGTTTTTCTTTAGGTCTTTCTTTTAACCGACTATACTGTTCTTAAACGTGTTTTTATTCTCATAATTCCACATTTTGAAAAATGTCTTTATCTAGCGTTTATGAGACTTATAAATTGTTGTATCTCACATACTTTTAATAAATGTGTCCCTTCGTTATACTATAGGTTAGGTTACTAGAGAAGACACATATAATGTTTTTGTATTCATAAATATATATTTTATTCTGTAATTGAAATATCAAGATCTATATGCATATTTATACTTTTTTTTAAATTCTTTGCCCGTCTATTAAATATAAAAATAATACACATATTTAACTTTTAATAGTTGATGAGGAGACACATAACTTTCTGCGGGTACTATTATTATTCATGATTATTTTAAAATACATACACTGCAGTTTGTTCTCTGCTATTTGATTTTTTTATAAATATAATGTTTTATATATATATTTTAATGGTTTTTGACACTATGTATAGTACCGTAAGTATGGTACCGTAATATTTTTAAGAAAACAATTAGGTGGGTGTCTCCTAGATAGCGAACGCCTTTGAAGCCGAATGCATATCAGTCTTCCAACCGTATATTATCAATAGTAATAATTATCACGAGTAGTAACCGTGATAGTATTGCATGATACATTGTATCTACATAATAGTGTTTTGAATATTATTAATTGATATTATTAATATAATTTTATTAATATTAATAATTAATTACTAAAGTAATATTAAGCGAATTTCACCCGGAGCGAGGCACACAGAAGCTAGTTTAATATTAAATAATAATTATCAAAATAGTTTTTCCAATAAATGTATTGAAATAAAAATAAAAACATTTTTTTTGTTATTAGATTCGCCATAATATTTCAATATAAAATTTCCGCCCCCCTAATAAGCTAAAAAATTTGCCGCCCCGGGCAACAAGGGACACTTGCCCCCCCCCCCTCAAATACGGCCCTACTCATCGTGATTGTTAAGTACGGCCACTCGAAAAACGACCGAGAATGGAAGCTATAATTAATATAGTCCTGGATAATATTTTGTTTATTGAAAATGATAAGTAACTGTGGCGCGCTAGACTCGCCACGTAATAGACGTAATAGACCGTGTATCTAAGACCGTGATTATAATATTGTTACTAAAAAAAAATAAAAAAAATATTTTATACATTTTTTCAGTGGTAATCATCTGTTTTTTTATTTATTAAAATAATAATATAATAGTTCTACATGATTTTTTTTTTTTTGGGGGGGGGGGGTTTTTAATATTTTTGAGGGGCTTAGCCCCTCCAGCCCCTTAATTATGCCTATGACTAGATTTAAATATACCTATACAATGTTTATCCAATACATTTTACCAATATAAAAAATATTATTTTATCATTACATATAGCGAACTACTAGATCTAATGATACTTTTTATATTCCTACTCAACAAACAAATTATGCGATGAATTATCCAAATTCCCGAATTATGTATTTGTCAAATAAATATAATATTGACTTTTTCTCGAATTAGTCATTATCCTCTTTTAAACAACATTTAAATCTTACTATAAATACCCACCATGTTATATGAGACCACTTGTTATTAGTTATTAGGTACTGTTTATATTTTTTTGCTCTTTTTAATGTCTCTTATTTTGTTATTTACAAGTTTAAGTTATTTTATAACTAATTTGTTATCTATTTTATATATAATGTACTTGTGCTATATGAATCACTTTTGTTTAAAACTACACTTGTAATTGGGTTATCAAGCCCATTAAATACAAATAAATAAATATATTTATTTAATTATACAAAAATTATTCCTATATTATACCTCTACATCAGAGGTTCTCAAACTTTTTTTCCGCGGTGCCTTTTTTTGGGCTCAATTTAGCCACGGTGCAGTGAATAACACGAAAGACAGGACAAAAAAAAATACTCATTGATAACTAATTTTATTAATTTTGTTAAAATTCAACTTATAAATATTATAAACTAATGAATTTATAAACTTAAAAAATTATTGTTATCATTATTATAATTATTATATAAAAATATTACGAGGTTAAAATAAGAATGTCCGAATATACAATAGAAAATATTTCATTATTTGCTATAAAGTTTTTACAAAAACAATAAGGAAAAAAATTCTAAACATTTTAAACTATTTGTTATGAACGGTAGGTGCGCAGTTTGGGAACCGCTGCTCTACATTATTAGATTATAAATTATTAAAAAAAAAAGTATATTTTTAACCATGCTTGTAGAATTTTTTGTTACAGATAGTCCTAAGTCTGTAATAATGGAAAGGAAAAAGTTTTTTTTCTTAATTTCACGGCATTCAATTGGTATATACCCTAAAACAACCCGGGATTCAATTCATTATAAAAGGTTATATTGGGACTCTGTTCGTTTAATTTAAGTTCGGATAGTTTACAGGAGCGTCACATACTCGGAACACATCTTATCGAATTAATGATTATAAATAGTTATAATAATAATAATAATAACTATTATTATTACAGTTTTTATTTTATACAAATGATAAGTTATATAGTATGTTGTTTACAAAAGTATTTTTGGGGTTAAACCTTTCCATCTGTCTAAAATGTTAAAAATTAAAACCTTTCTTCGTTACTTTATACTTCTAAAAAAAATGATAAAATCAGTATGGAACTATAGTTTTAATTAATTCTTGGTTAATTTTTATAAACCTGATTATTTTACCATAACTAAATTCGTTTTGTTATTTGTCTACGGAGAGGATTACTGTTTAAGAATCGAACTTTTTTAAAATGATGTTCCAACCGATGTTTAGGTTGTTCGTGCAACAACTTAACACATAAATACCAAGTTGAAAAATATTATGAAGCCTATATCACCATAGTAATTGTAAATGATAAAATATCATCAATTTTGAGTTCAGGAGTGCTATTAATAATTTACTATTATTTTGACGAGACGTGTTATACACGTATTATCATTAAACTGGCTAATGCTAATCGATTATTATTTTGCGCGTAATACTGCTGTACAAAAACTACCCACCATGTGGGCACGTATATATATGTAAATAGTCATGTGTTCATTGTAGAATATGTTAAAATTTTAACCACGCGGTTCTGAATGTGGGGTGGGGGGAAATACACGCGTTCGGTCGAAATACGCGGCAGAGGATGTCGCTGCTCCCTCAGCACAGGGCGCCGGAGCACGGCAAGGCGCAGCCGTTTTTTGTTTCTTTCTCACTTTCTCAAGTCTACGGTACTCCGATTTTAATCTAAAAATAATCATCACATTGCACGCATGTACGACGAGTACGAAATGTTATAACTATGGTAACACGTTATGTGAAGGTCGGTCGTTTTCAGTTCCAACCGCGGCAACATGTTACCGCCGACAATGACGACGACGACGACAACAACGACGACCACTACTACGGTCGCGGGTCTATGACTATCGATGCCGTTGCCGCGCGGCGGTGATGAAGCAGCGGCGGTAGCGGCGGCGAAGAAGATCCTGTCGGTAGACGGAGGAAGGGGCCCGGGTGAGAAAGGTAGACGCAGCGACCCAGGGGGGAAGCCGGTTTCGCTAGTGGGGAGGAGTGACGCCGTGGTGTACACCAGACGCGCATGCGCGTGCGAGCACAAACCGAAATACCTGGTTCACCTGGCCGTATCACCTGGCCCCCCCTCCCCGCCGCAGCGCCGCCGCGGACACTGTCACTCCTCCACCCGTCCCCCGGCATTGTTTGTCGCCGCCGCACGTATTATACCATTATATACCTGTAGTGGTTTTTTTTTTTTTTCTACTCCCGCCGTGGTCGTTCACAACGCAACCGAGAGAACCTCCGTCGTTGCTGCTGCCACTCGACAGCATTCGGTCTTCGGTGTGCGCGCGTTCGGTCTACAATATCACACACTGTCATACACGTACACACCACTCGTACTCTCGCTCACACGTCTCAACACATACACACAAAAAACATACACGCGTTTCGAAATTTTTTTTTTTTTAATTTTAATATCCTCGAAAATCATACTTTTTTTTTTATATATTATATCGTACGAGGATAGGTTTGCCGAGCGCACCGATACCGTCGGAATAATAATATTATATACTTGCGGTACATAATAATATCGATACTGCGTACTGTTGCGACGATTACCGAAGTCTCCGCGTGCCCTTCCGTCGTTACCGGAACTCGGTACTGTATAAATCGGAATTTCGAAAGTTCGCGTTTGGTTCGTTGTCGTCGTCGCCGTCGCCGTCGCCGTCGCCGCCGCCGTTGCCACTGCACGAGTTTAAAAGAAAATAGTACATCCCTTTGATCGAACGCTTATACTTACGGACATGAAACGGGCTGAACGGTGAGTGTTTTCATTAGATGATCATTATTGATGTTCGTGTTAGTGCAAACATTTATTACCTTCCTGTGTCCAGAACGTTGGTGCAGCAACAGGTATCTGCATACGCGTGCGCTCGCAATTGATGTTCCGACGCCCAGTAGCGAGATTTTTAATTTTCACTTGGGGACGGCTTTCTTTTTTACGAAAATCCAGTTGTTTATCGGTATACGACACGTTTATCAGTGATATTTATTTATCTAATCGATGAGTAATCTAGTGCGAGCTCCATTGGAAAACGAGTAATTTCGTGAAAGCTTCTAAAATTAGAAAAAACTATTTATATTATTTCATTTATAATGTTGATGATATTTGAGTTTATACACCTCGTAATGTCGTATCGATTTATACGTTCTTTTGATCGCAGTCTTTAGTGAAATAACATTAAGGTTCGGTTAACGTTTTCGTTAGAATCTATAATTGTTTACGATTAAAATATCAGTTTATATTGAAGATATAACCTAAATAAATTTACACTTCAAATTCAAAATAGTTTTACAATTATATAACTTATTCCTTTAAAACTAACATTTAACCAAAGAGCGTTTTCTTGTGTTGTTTCTTTACATTTCTAGGGTCTACAATTACAAATAATTGATTATTCTATACATTGAATTGTTAATTTATACATAAAGCAATATAATTTATATTAACATATGAACTATACTAATTTCTAATTAAGTTTTTCATATGTATTGGTACCTTATTTTTACTAGTTACAGTTATCTATTAGTTATATATACCTGTACTTTATATTGGGGGTTTAACAGATATTATAAGTTATAATTCAAATTTAAATTCTTTATCAATGGCTATAATAAATTGATAGGAAATGTATTTTCAATTTTGTGTATCGATGAACAAATAAAAAATGCATTAAATTAAAAATTATTTTGTTAGCTTAAAAATAATATAAGTATTTTCGATATTAATATAGAATATAAACTGATCATATTCGATTAGTGAAAATAAAAGATTGTTTAGAATTTTCGAGAAATTTAATATTATATACCTATACATTAAACTTTTTGAGTGATCCATTAAAAAATATTGTCTTATTTATCCTATTAAAATATCAATAACACTACATTTATTTAGATTCATACTACTTAAGATTTCACATTATGTCAGTGGCGTTATTTCAGTTTTTGATAAGGGCGGGGGAAATATGGAGTTTCGTTCACACATTTTAACTTATATTTCAGGCACATATTTTATATATTATATTATTATACATCTTAAATTTTTACAAAATATAATTTTGTATTTTATAAAAATTACCTAAACAAGGTTAACTTTATCTAACTTAATCTAAACTGAAAACGGATACCTTCTATTTTTCATTTTTGAAAATACATCTACTGCATCATATAAACTGATTTTTGCAGCAATATCATTTTCAACAGCTATGATCAACAAATCACTCAGCCGATAATTTCCCATTGTCAAGCAAAGATAGGTTTTAATTAATTTAAGGGAAGAAAATAACGTTCATTGGAAGCAGTTGTTACAGGAAAAGTTAAAAGAATATTTATAATTTTAAGAGTTTCAGTACCTAAAAGCTTTAGGAAGTTAATTTACAATTTTAGAAATAGAAAAAAGATCATGATTCCATCATCTCGTTCTTTATTAGAATAATTTAAGTTAATTAATTTAAATTTTTTGCAGATCAGAATTCAGTTTGAAGTATTAAATTATCAATTTTAAAATTACTATAATCATTAAGGAACGACAATAAATAGGGACTTATGAAATTTAAATAATCAAAACTGGAAGATAAGAATATATATATAAGACAAATAAAAATGATTTCATTGCTAGAATTGCTGAAACGATGGTAAATTTCATTAAAAATCTAATATTCTTGTAAAATGCTTATATGTCTATTTATAGTTTATACCAATTGGCAATTACCAAATATTGTGGCAATAAATAATTATCTAGTACGTAGTATTTTCAAAATTATAAAAATACGCTTGATTTTTCACAAATAACGGTTTATGGCTAAACGACAACGGCTGGCCCTTTGGGATGCTTTTTAATCAGACAGGGGCAAATGCACACCTTGCCCCCCCCCAATGATGCCACTGTATTATGTTTTAAATAATGTATTTATGTATGAGAGGTATCAAAGATGTTAATTAGGATTTTATTAGCTTTAATTTATCATAATTATTACCCCTCGATTATTACTATCAAACATAAATTGTATTTTTAATATTTTAATTACATTATAGATTCTTTAGTTGTTAAAGTTATATATATATATATATGTAAAATATGTTTATTTCAAATAATTAATACTTAACTTAAATTTTTCAAGTAAAATAATTTGAGTACTCGCGTTAAATTCTCAGTTACATAGGTTTTTATATAATTATTTCAATGTTTATTTTTTTTTCTTAATCTGTTTATACCCTAGGGTATAATAATAAAGGCTTTTATTATTTATTTTGTTTATTTTATTCACAACATAGTTAATTCATTTTTCTTTTAAAATATGTAGAAGATAATTTATAAATACTTCGATAAATACGTTGTATAAATTGTATTTTAATTCGACGTAAGTATTAAAATATCAAACAAAATAATGTTTACAACTTACTATTATTTTTGATGATATTAAAATAAATCATGTGACTATTACAAGTTGTATGACAATATATGATAACATATTATGAATTAATAATATTTCATGATTGTTTAAATATTTATGACCGTTAAAACTATTACATTCATATCACTTATATGATTAACTCTCGAATTATCCTATTTAATATGAAATATACACCTATGAAAATTAGATAAATCATGTTAATTATTAGTTTGGTAATTACTCAATAAAATCCGAGATAAAATCTTTATTCCACCAATATTTTCTATATGCTTTTAACATTTATTTTTATATGAAATCAATCGAACTTCTGAATTTACAATTTATACTTTCTAAAAGTTAGTATTTATTTTGTATATATATTTTGTATTGATCGCATAACAATGTACATTTCACTAATCCTGATATAGTATATTTATTTTATATTCGAAGTATTTCCCATTGAAGCTCTGTAGCAACACATCCGTCTTACCTTTCTGGACTACGTAACACGTGCATTATTGTTCAACCGTGGTTTCTGATGCGTGCCCACAGAACTATGGCAGTAGAAGCTGGCATTCCCATCAGTAACACCGTGAAGGAATTTGTCAACTTGTTGTTTCGATAGGAAGCCCCCTTACAAGAGAAAGACACTTTTCGTCCGGCCCACTATTCAATATTCAGTTAAAATTCTTTATTTTAATCTCAAAAACTATAATTTATTTTCTGCAGAAAAAATATATAAAGAATTCTCCTGAACACTGAAGCACATTGTGTAGATTACGTAACGCATGTGTTTGGCTTCATCCCTTTTTTCGTCTAGAACATAAAAAATACACTTATACAAAACACATACTTATGTAAATTACTTTTCGTAATTTTCCCTTCTCCAAGAAATTTTCGTTTTTTTCGTGTGCTAAAATCGCGTATGTGCAATGAATAATGATTCTAAAAATAGTCGTACATTTATTTATTAAGTATTCCTCATTCAATAAGTTTAAATTTGGCTAAGTTGGCATTATTAGTATTTGTGACGTTGTTCAATGTATGCAAAAGAAGAAGAAAAAAGTAGAATTTTGGACACGTTTAACTGGTTTTTACTGATTTTTCATATTACTGGACTCGTTTTTAAACGTATCGATTCTAGTAGTTCGAGAAATGAAAATTGAAGAACTATTTAAGTACATGGTTATTTTCAACTCAAACATAACTTCATTTTAAAATTGGTATGAAATGTTTTATTTGTTTTGTTCAAATTATATTTTTAGTTATGTTACTTGTTAGGAAAAACATGGCATACTGTAGTTTTAATAGAGGACCACATTATAAAATAAAATAAAGATTTGTAATACTGATAATCCAAATTGTTAGATGTGCTGCACATGATACAATATATGTAGGTATTTTATTATTGTTAGACTATAATTATTTACGAGTAGCTATATAAACTAGATATTATACTCTTGTGAAATTATTTGTCAAAAATATGGGGTCATTTTATAAAATCAAAATAATTGAGACCAAAACCACTTACCATGGATCCTAGCACGCATGTTTACCTGTTAAATATTATAGACGTTTAAGATATTACAATAATTCAATATTTTTCAACTAATGCTAAGTCTGTTAAAAAAATATCTAGGTAAATTAGTTAAAATATTAGTATCAAGTAATTAATATACTATACATTTTTTTTTAAAATAAATAATAAACTATATAAATAAATTGATATGAAAATATAGTTAATATAAGTTAAAGTTATTCAAAGATGTTCAGAAATGTCTAGATTAATAATTATATTTATAATATTTTATTAACTTAATTAGGTAATTCATTTTATTAAATTATTTAAATTATTAAATTAGTGCTTGATTTTAACTACATATTTTATAAGTTACCATGTCAAATTTTTAAATTTGGTGTTTAATTGATTTACCATTGTTATTTCCCGTTTTTAATTATTTAAACATTTCATAAGTTTAACCTGTGTTATGCGGTAATGTTCAGTGATACCGTTACTTCATCAACCGTACCTTGTCTGATTTTTTTTTTTTTAATTTACCTCTATTATCGCTGTGCGTATAAAATCTTTTTAGTATTGTTCTTTTTAGCCATCTATTCTTAGGGAAATTGTTCACCGCACGTTTTTCACCGGTTCATCGGTCTTGGGACCGTTTTCCCGGGTACACCGTACTGTCACTGTCACCGCCACTACTCGTGGTTCTACTGCCATAGTGAAAGCCTATATACCTACGCGGTTTCATTATCTTGATACCATTTGACATTTCCGTTCAGTGTTACAGAATATATAAAGTTATATTTAAGTCCCCTTGTAAGTAACCGCATCTCATTAAAAATGAAAAACAACCTACTATGTTGAGAAACTATGGTTTTTCTATTTATACTAAACTAATAATGTACAATAATAATAATAACAACATAATGTTCTGCATATAGTTATATAGTTTATATAGTTTCAGATAACGTTTAAAATAATTTCAATTCCAACTATACCCAGTACCGGATCTAGGAGGGGATGGCAAATTGGTATGCTTACCCTATGCTTGGTTGGTGTAAAGATGCTCTTAAGTTTATAAAAAACAAAAAAAGTCATGAATATATTTCGTATTTTTATTTACAAAAGGCCCTGCATGTTTATTAGCCCCGGGCGTCAAATTTCTTAGATCTGGCACTGTCTATATCAATAAACTTATTAATTAATAAACCATGTTTATTAAACATTAGGTAATGCTGTATAATGTACTATATCATGCCAATTTAGATGATATTTAACAAATCACAAACCTTTGATTTTACAAAGTTACATTACCAGTCTTTTTCTTCTCTTTTACCATTTTCCCAACTATTTGGGGTCGGCCACCTGTGTCCTAAATCTCCACTCGTCCCGATTTTCTGCATCTCCTACGCTTACACTAACAGTCCTCATATCATTTTCAATCTTATCCAGCCATTTCTTTTTTGGTTTTCCTCTTCCTATTTTCCCGTCAACGTTAATTTTCACCGCTACTCTTATTGCTTTTGTTTCCTCTAGCCTCATTACATGTCCAAACCATCTCAGTCTATTTTCTCTTATCTTGTCTTCTATTGACGTTACACTAATACTACCTCTTATGTAATCGTTCCTTATTCTAACTTGTCACTCTATACATTCATCTAAGCATTTTCATTTCCGCAGCACTCATACTCTGTTCTATTCAAAAAGTTATATTACCAGTGGCGTATTTTTAAATTTTTTGTGGGGATGGGGGGAGGGTTTAAAATGTATCTAAAAAAAATTAATGATTTTATAATATTATAAAAAATACATATGATACTATAATAATGTTAATATAAATTAATGTTCTCTTTCTCTGTACTTTTTTAGCAAGTCTTTTATGACACGTGAGCCTTTTTTTTCCTTCTGGGGGGGGAGGGGGCTCGAGACCAGATTAACACCTCTCCAAAAGTATGCAACTGTGTCTTTCTAATATATTCAAACATTAATTTTCATTTTATTCTTTTGTATTGTTTTTTTTCTTTTATTTAGCTTCTGTATATTTTTCCGTATGTGTTTCTATTATCATTATCTATTATCTTTTATCATGGTTATGGTTTTCTAAGTATTAGGCTTATTTATAATTCATTTTCATACTTTTCTTGATTAATATTTATCTCTTAATAATACAATTTACATGGTGTATTGACGTGATAAATTTGTTATTTTGTTTACATTTTTAAGTTTTGTCCGTCAGATTTAGTTAAGTTAATCCATGTGAAGCAATCGATGTTTACATTAGTTAATAAGTAATAATTTATCATCATATTGTGTCTTAAATATTATTAATTAATTTGTATTCTTAAGATTTATAATTTTAACAATAGACGCAAGCAATTTACTCTTAACCTCATATTTATTTATATCCAAAATCAAAAATCTGAAATACAACATTTAAATAGTTAATATTTTGTTTTATTTTAAATTATAGAACATATCAATAAGGTTTTAAATAGATTTTTTAAATTAGGTACCTTCATTATATTTGTTATTTGAAATTTATAAAATTAGTTTGATTACGTGAATAAACCCCTGATCGGCATTATCATTTATTTTTCTATTCAAATTAACTTGTTTAAGTCAAATTTATTTTTATTTTTTTATTAAATTGAAAATCTAATTCATAGTGTTGACTTTCTTAAGTTAGAATTAAAGTGATATTTTTTACAAAATACAAATAAAAATAATCAATAAACTTGGGTTAAATGAACCGAAATCGAATACTAAAATTGTCTTTTTTGTAGTATTTTCTTCACTAAAAAAAAAAAAAATAAAAAAAATACTCAACGAAATTATAATGAACATATTCATACGTCATTTAGAACACATGCTCTAAATATAACTTCGTAATCAAAACGTATTCTCTATTTAAAATTTATAATTTTAAAATCATAGCTATATCATATTGGAATTGTATTTTAATAAAAAATATTTGATTTATTGAATGTTTTTTTTTTTTTTTTTTTAATACTTTATTAATGCATTTTTGGAATTTATGAATCCTTAAAATTGACAGCCATATAATGCTAAAACTACTATATGTAGTAAATTTTTATAGGTGAACTTTAAATATTTTAGTTAATACTAATTTTTAGTTTTAAAATTAATTTGTTTTTGATTTCTTATCATTAACGTTAATTCATGTATACAAATATAGATATTTAAATACATTTATTTTATTTATATTATTCCATTCACATTTTTACATTTATTCAGTATCACAGATATAAACTTTGAGGCTCCCAATGTTTTGTTCTTACTTCAGCAATTAATAGATACATTGTAGTATTTAAATTTAAATGCAATCGTTTTTTATCTGATCCGTATAATATATTACTTAAAGAAACCAATAGAATTATTGATTTCAACATATGTACTATAAAATTTTTAGATTCTTTGAGAAACGAGTGATGTATTGATTTTATTACTACAATATTATTAGAAAAACTTGATTTTCGTATAGAAAATAAATTATTTCCATCAGATTCAACTGATTAATGTGTATCATTATATTTTTTTATCGGATGAAATATTTATGATTTTAATATTTACAATAATTGAAATTATAATTGGATACAAGGTAATCAAACTTATGAGTATCATATGTATATTTAAACTCTTCATTTATATAGCATTATTCAATGTATTGTTTAGTCACCGGTATAACAAAGTATATCCATTTTACATTTTGTTATGACCAATAAACCCAATATCTGTATGATTTTATGTGCCATGTTTGAAACGAACAATATTTGGAATCTAAATTAACTTTTATTAAAATTTTTCTTCATTAAATAGTTTCCCAGTAACGAAACCTAAGTTATTCCCAAATTTATAATACTCATTAAAATTATAATATAATTACGTGTAGAAATGACTTTCGTGTTAAAAACAGTATAAAATATTAATATTAATATATTGCGTACAGAAGAAGACGGCCGTGGGCGCAAATTACGTCACATATAAATTTCTTTAAATTATAGGAGACCAGTAAACATTGTCAAGGTCATGAAAATTGTTACGAGATTTTAATGTTTTAAGTTGTTATATACAATTACTCTATACTAAATATTCTAACAAATTATATTATCATATATTTTCATTTTTCCTTAAAAATAATTTAGTTTATGACAATTGAAAATATAAAACTATAATATATTGTTATAGTTTTAGCAATTGTGGGTAATAATAAATAAAACTTCGTCTTAGAGTTGGGAAGAAACATTTTGTAAAAGGATAACTGTATATCGTTAATTATTAGGTAGAAAAAATATATTTGTTTTAAATTATTATAGTCAAAAATTATTGTACGTTTTTAAATTTGTGGATATTTAATATAATTTTAACAAGTAATATTTAAATTGTATATTAAGATAATATTCAATAATTTAATAAATAAATGTTGATTTATATACCTAATAAATAGGTTTGCCATTCGACCTGATTTGACAGGGACAGTCCTGGTTTTAAAGGCATGTCCTGGTGTCCCAGCCGATCTTTCAGTTTATCCCGATTAATAAAAGCTGAGAGAAAATAATATTTAATATTGTATTATTTAATAATAAAACAGAATAATATTGTACATTATATCATTATATTATGATTATCTACAATAATAATTTTTTTTTGTTTAGGATGTCTTAAAAATAACGTAGGGCTTAAATTTGCTATAAATTTAATTTATTTCTTTTAAAATGACTTAATAAATATATCATTCTCTTCTAAAGAAGTTAAGGTTTAACAGTGAAAAACAATATTGGACATATAACTCTCCCTGTTTGCCCTATAGGCGATTATTCTTTCCATAAAATTTACCATCACTCGATCACACATTGCCCCACCAAGTTCGTTGAGGACGTAACGAATTTCTTGCTCAAGTTCCAAGATATTTCGAACTTTGTTCTAGTAAACTCGTGACCTATGTTGTTTTATAATTATTTTATAGATTTTTAAAATTATAAAATATACAGGTGTGTGGTGGTTAGTATTTCCGAGAGGTGATTGCGATGTGCGTAATATTTTTATCGGAAGTAGAAAAATATTCGCTTTCCAACTATACTTCGAATATTTAATGGATAATTATTGAAAACAACTTCAACTATGGTTGGATGGTGAAACTAATTAATGTCATATTTTAAAAATAATTTGTTGTATCAAAAACAGAATGAATCTATATTTAAAAAAAATGTGAAACTATTCCAGATTATTCTTAATGGTAATTGTTTATCACTGATTTTTGACTATTTATGACGGATCGAATCAATTAGAAATCAGACTGTAGTTTGTGCTATATATATAAAAATACTATATTAGAGCTCTTCAACACGTATACTAAAATAAATTATAAGATGCATAAAATAATAAATTGTTTCAGCATAGTCAAGGCTTTGTTGTGTTTTTTATTTCAATTATACAATTATACAAAAATAAAAACAATTTTATAGATGATATTTAAAAATGTTTTCTTCGAAATACTGATATTAATTATACATTTAAAATGAGATATTTCAATTTAAATATAAGAATTTATTATTGCTTGTATATAGGTATATTCATAAATCGATAAAATATAATATGAGTAGATATGTGTTGGATTTAGATTAAAATGTACTTATAATTACCTGAATATTATAATATAAATTTATAATGTTGAAATTGTTTTCTATTTATTAAACATTATGTTTTTTGTATGCCTTGTACAGGTGATGGGGAATGTCCGATATCAAATCGACGGACTGTGATACTCGAACGGCGGTGGAGGAGGTGGAGGAGGATAGTCTTCAGAACGCCTGCAGCAGTATTGAAGTGGCCAATATGCGAGTGGCCACGCCGTACTTATGTGCTCTGTACGTGGCCACAGCGGGCCACCAGGGCAACCTGCTCGGGTCAGACGAACAGGAGATTGTCTTGCTCATATACGTAGTGGTCGACATGACAACCAATACTGTAAGTGCTGTGTAATAATCGTAACAGTAATAATATTTATGTTATACACCATGAGTATAATAATGCAAAACGCATTCGGTCGTGCGTATTACGTTTCGTATTATTTTCATGTGTATTTTTAGAACGTCCTTGTCCGCTAATTTTCATTGCGCACACAGTACATATATAATTTCAGCGCCAAAATATTACATTATGTACATTTTTTTTTTTAACTCTCTCTTTGATTTTAATTTTTTTCTATACGGTCTCGGTAATTACCTATATTACGTTTGCGATGCCACAATATCATTAAGACGATAATACGAGTACACACGCCATGTTATTTTGTGTTTCGCTTCATAACCGGTTCCGTTCTGATGAAAAAAAAAAAGTCGACTAGCACTTTATCATAAGCTCACCGAATGAATAATACTGTACTTTTGTGCTCGTTTTGGCCGTGCGGCGCGCGCACAGGGGTGTTCCTTAGCAAAATGGCGGGTGGTCTGCAAAAGAATAATATGATACACTCGACCCGGGATATCGACATATTGTTATCTCACACATTTCACTATTTTCATTTAAACAAAGGTTGTAAACCTTATAATAACATAATATGATATCCATACACACTATTTGCAGTTATAACACTTTCGCCATTATAAAAAAAAGGAATCTATATTTTTATCTTGACTTTTTAATTACATATACATTATATACCTATATACCTATATATATATATATATTTATAATACATAATAGCACGAATTTTCAAATAATACAACACACGTGATACAGATGATACTTTTATTTAAAAGGTTTCGTTTTTTTTTTTTTTTTTTATGGCCCGAATATAATGTTGTAAAAGGTTTTATTACCTTTACGTATCTACTATTTTTAACCCCTTTTTACACAATAGCAAACGTGTAGTAAGTAGTCTAACCACCCTCGTCTTATGAAAGACCCGTCACGTTTTCATGTCAGTCTCCCTTATAGGGTCGCAATACATAAGATAATGTCGCAATCGAGGTAGTAGTGATCTATTATTGTATATATTTTTTTTAAAGATTAATATACGATTTTTTTAACCGGCTCGTATATTCTTAAAGTTGGTAGCCGTTTGCAGGTTTGCAGGGGTTAACAAAATATGAGAAAATATATAATATTTTAGTACCTACCTATTTTAATGTTGATATATATACATGTTATATGTTATATGTTATAAATTATATATGATGAAAGATTAGAAAATTTCTTTTTGTAACTATTCAAACAAAGACTAGGGTAATTGCTGCTGTATTATTTTAAAATTATTTCTACGAAATTTATAATAGTCTGTTCGTGCGTCTTAATGTTATAAAATGCGTTCATTATTATACGGTATTGTTTGAATTTAAATACTTGTATGTCCCAAATATTTTCATATGAATATCATTTATAAAACCGTCTGAAATCAATCAAGTCAATTAAAGCACACCATAAACGTTAATGCAGTTTTGCTATTTTTACACATGATGTATCATACAACGTTCATAACAATACACGAAAAACACGATCACTCATTATATCGCAGAATTTAAGAAAAGAAAAAATTAATTAAAACTTCTACATTGATATGGCGCGTATTATTGAAATATGAGATTACAGAGTTGAACTCGGCTAGTGATTAAACGCTGCCGGGCGTTTGTGGGCGAGGGACGCGCATCAAAATGGCCGAACGCCTCCGCCCGTACCCTGCGCGCGCGTCCAATTCATCCCGCCCAACTTTTCCCATTCACGAAACGAAAACGTTGAATGCGTATTTTTTCGCTACGTTTCGTTGTTGCTGCTGCTCTGCGTCCCAGATTAACAATGGATTAGCTACGGACCAGTAGAGGACCAAGGAAAAAAGTCAACCGATTATGTCTTCAAACATTTATGAAAAAAACGTTTTGCCGACATAATATGATGAAAACACGAGTAATAAATAAATAAATAAATAAATAAATAAATACGAGTAGTAGACGCGTAAATCGAAATTAAATAAATAAATGTACAAAATGAATGGTGGTACGTCATAGCTTATTATCTGCAGAGTTATTCACTCTCTATCCGGTGTATGACGTTATTTTTTATGTTGATAAGAGCTATATCTAAATAATTTCATTCACAGTAATCCAGTACGTAGTAAAAAAAATAAATCGTTCGCTTTTTACGTTTTATTAGTTGTACTTTTTCATGATTTATAAATAACCGAATGCAAAAGAAAACCATCTATAATTAATTAAAAATAACATAAATCCAGTTGCAAAGAATTCAAGGATCCGCAGCTTTTCCAGTCTACATTAATTGTATAACATTATATTTGTAATAAACCGAGCCTGACTGCCACGTTGTCGTGTTCTTCAATATTTGAATTGTTTTATAAACATGGGCTTTTTAATACAATTGTATACGATGTACCGTCCAGAAAATTAGGGCTTCCGCGAACAAGTCGAAATAATGAGATTTAGTGGTAAAAAAATAAATATAATGATCGTCATACACGCGGGATTCGGGAACGGTCGGGCAATTAGTCACGGCCGTGTACGGCCATGTGCGCGCGCGCACGGTGCGTTGCATTTGTGTGCGTACATACATACTTGTGTGTGTGCATGCTCTTAACAGTGTAAAGATACATTCTACGGGAGAATGGGTTGAAAATGCATAATAATGATAATAATGGTTTGTAATTTATTTTGCTCATATGTATACAACGTTTGAATCAAAATAATATTTTCACGCAATACATGTACAAACGTGTATTTTGTGTTAAAAATTATATATATATATATATATATATATATATTTAATTGTGTGTGTGTGTGTGTATACCAATGTGTATAAATATGTAGACACATGCAGTGAGTTGTTAAAGAGGTATATAAGGTATATACTTGTTTTCCCGTTCACTTTACTCTTTGCAAGACGATGTGTGCACATCTCACACTGTTTTAACTTATGAAAAACGGTTGCAACAGCTGGTCGTTGAAATAATGCTGTGTGTTCGCGTATATTTACTTGTAATCGTCGAGTATTATTATGGTATGTCCTTCGTACTGTTCGTATACGTTCATACGTTTTAACACTAATTCGTCAAGAGAATTGTTATATTTGCGCAGGCGAATTCGGCATCTTTCGTGAAATAAACAATCGACATCCGCTGTAGTATATTTTTTTCAGTGGTCTATAATAATATGTAATATACCACTGTTGCAATCGGTACTCATATCGTTTCCGAATTCGATAATAATATACATATTTTTCTGTATTTCTCAATCATTCATAGCTTTTAAGTAAATCTTGATTTTATATTTTCTTTCCAGTGTATCATTATGTAGGTGTAATTCTTGATACTTTGGGTTTAGATACCCATGTAAATTCATTCTCAAATATAACTATGAATTTTCGCATTTTAATGTTATGAATATTTTTATTTATCTTATCGTCAAAGTACAAAACTTCAAGCGAAAAGTAGCTATCCTAAATAATTTTTGTATACATACATATATTATTTAATCACACGTATAATATCGCACAAAGAGTTCAAGGTTATATTTTGGTAGCAGTTCAAGGCCTCAAATTCATATATCTTCTATACTTATATGATACATATTTAATAATTATTTAATAATTTATAGGTGTGTTTATATTATGCATTATAAATTAAAAGATATAAATATTGCATTACTGTGTATCAAAATATATTGAGTGTATATAAACTGGAAAATTTTACATTATTGTTTTGTTAAAATTTGACATAACTGAAACGTTTTTATGTTTTTTTAATAATATCTTATTAAAAATAAAAGTTGCAAATTACGTTCTAGTTATTTTTTTTTTTATTACAACATCAAAAAGCATTGTTAATTTTTATTGTTGTAAAATATTCTAAATGAAAATTTAGTATAGAAATTAATAATTGGTAAAATAATAATTCGATATGAAAGGGATATTCTTGTATTTTATATTTTTAATTTTTATTGCACTTTAATGTTTCTGCATAGAATATTCTCATTTCTAAATAGTTTTATATTTTACTATTATTCTTATTTTATATCATAAAAATAATATATTTTAAAATATTAAATTAGAATATGTTAAAATATAATAACACTATTTACTATTATGAACAGTAAACGTTTGGATAAAATTAGTTCTACTGTTTTAGACAACATTATTTTTTAGCAATTTTCCTCTTTCCTCGTATTCTATAACATTTTAGCACAAGTGGTTTTCGTTGTGTTCCAGTCCGGATTTAATTGCGCATTCGTGGTATACCTGACGGTGCGCATAGCGTAATAATTGGATTCGGAACGATGAACACACATTGCCTTTTCTTCTTTTTTTTTTATTATTATTTTTTTCTGCAGAATATCCTCTATAGTCTACATCGCTTCGATGTGCATAAGGAACGCATTTTTTTTCTTCATCATCCTTACTGTTGTGATTCTGTCTTACCGCTACCATACATATAACGGGTCTCGACTATTCTCCCTCCTCGTTTCTTTTCCATTCAAACTGACATTTCATCTCGGAATGGACAAGACTGCATTGTATATGAAAGCGTTGTACTATCATAGGTAACGTTCATTTCGATGTTTCTCGTGTACGAGATGAAATCGGGAAAAATTTAATGTTAATACTTTAATCAGAAAATATTTTTTGGCGGTGTATCAAATATAATATCAACTAATGTAGTATGTTTATATTTATAAAATTGTTTATTAAATTATAAAATAATATTATTAAATGCTTATTGCGAGTATAATGTGACGTAAAATAAAAATAATATCATTTATTAGGTTTAACTATACATTAAAAAATGTTATAATAACGGTCCCTACATACATTTTTATTATTATTTACTTTAAACAGTTACTACTTAATTTGATTTAGTAAACGTATATAATTTATTAAATTTATTATTAAGTTTATAATTTTAGAATATAATCTTAAAAATCTTATTTAAATATGAATTACCTTATTACAATAATACTATCAGA